CCCCCTGCCAGCCTGCAAGCAGCACGTGACCTTCTTGGACACCTCCCAGGACTGCGGATCGCCCTCCGCGCAGTCGACCTTTTTCTCCGTGGTCGTCACCGGCTCCGGCGGGGGCGGCGGGGGCGGGGGGGGCGGCGGGGGCGGAGGCGGAGGCGGCGGGGGCGGGGGCGGAGGCGGAGCCTCCGTGGTGGTCTTCTTGGTCGTCGGAGCGTCAGGCGGAGGCGTTGGCGGCGCCGCCAGCATTGGCGGGGGTGGAGTAGTGGTGAGAATCGTGGTCGTCGTCGTGCTGGTTGAGCCCATCAGGAACCAGCCGAGCAGCGGGAGCAACAGCAGCGACAGTAGCAAGGGGATCAGGCAGAGGCAACAGCAGTTGGGGCCACGCGGACGCAGGGGCAATATACTCGAGATGACTGTCTCCGAGACTGCCTGCGGGCCGCCCGCCCCCATGCCAACGTACTTGTACGTCGTCTCCTGCACGTAGTCACCACCAGGCCCCACGTAGGTCTGAGTTTGTGGCGGCATGCCACCCGCGAGGCCGAAGCCGGAGGCGCCGCCGTAGCCGTAGCCCGCCGAGCCGCCGCAGCAACCCGCGTCGGCGCCGTACGCACCACCGTAACCCGCGCCGCCACCGCCACAGCAGCCCGCGTCGCCGCCGTATGCGCCGCCGTAACCCATACCCACGCCGCCGCTACCAAAGCCGCCGCCGCCGTGTATCATCCCTTTGAGTTAAAGAGGCTGCGGGCGGGGAGTCAAAGCAGCTGGGGCCGATATGATCGAACCAGACTGGCGTGAGCCAGAACGGCTACGTGGCATTCTTGGGCCATCTTGGGGGCCTCTAGGATTCGTCCCACGCCGGTACGGTCGCCGCGCGGGGACTGGATGGGGTCCGCCCGCCTTGTTACGGGAATACCATCGTGTCACAGGAATGACAACTCTTCGTGTCGGTTCCCCCTTTGCACCCTTTCCCCCATGATTTCTGGTTTGCGGGCTGACTAGTAGCTGTCTCCTGCCGCTGGCACTACCGATATGGCATAATCCCACCAGCCCTTTAGGGCGTGAGTGTTTTTCAACGAATTTCCTCTTCCATCTCTTCCCATTCGGGAGAGGCTTTACCCCGCCCTCTACCCTCTCCCCTGGACCTGGACGGGGCGCCCCGCGACCGATTGGAGCGTCCAAGATGGCCTCGGCGAGAATGCAACGATCATTGATTAGCCTTAGGTTTTGGGCCCATCTCGGCCTCAAGGGGGGCGGAAGGCTAATTGAGCCCCCCTCCTTCGATCACCCCGCATGGAGGCCTCCCACAGGGGCAAAAAATCATGGGGCCAGAGAGTCGCACCGTGTCGCCGATGCAGCGCCGATGCACTGGCGACGTCGGGACGGAGAGAATCAGACTCCGGCTAACGCCGCATCGCTGATGCCTCGGCGACGCGGTTCTCCGACCCCATCAACTCTGGCCAGATGTTGGAGGCTTGGACAACAAAACAGCACAAAACGCCTCCACTCCTCTCTTCCTCCTCGGCGAGGGGCAGGATCAGGACGAGGCCGGGACGGCAGCGCCCTCCCCCACCCCTGGCCGCCTTCTTCGTGTCCAGCGTGCGGCGCAGGTAGCTGCGTCCGGCCCAGCCGATCCAGCCGGTGGTGTAGATGAAAGCCAGCGACGACGGGATGATGCCTTGCGGAGTCCTCCCCCTCTACTCGTCCTCCACCTCCTCCTCCTTCTCCCCCTCCTCCTCGGCCTCCTCCTCCTCCTCCTCCTCCTCCTCCTACTCCTCCTCCTCCTCCTCCTCGCCACCACCGCAACCACCACCACTACCACCGCCACTACCATCATCAGCATCATCAGCAGCATCATTAGCATCATCAGCATCAACAACAACAGCATGAGCAGCATCAACAGCAACAGCAACATCATCATCAGCATCATAATCGACAACAACAGCATCGTCAACATCGACATCAGCATCATCAGCATCAGCATCAGCATCAGCATCAGCATCAGCATACGCATCAGCACAAGCATCATCAACATCATCACCGTCATCATCATCATCATCATCATCATCATCATCATCATCATCATCATCATCATCATCATCATCTCATCATCATCAGCAGCATCATCATCAGCATCATCATCATCATCATCACTATCAGTATCATCATCATCATCATCATCATCATCATCATCAGCAGCATCATCAGCATCATCATGATCATCATCATCCCCATCGTCCTCATCCTCATCCTCATCATCCTCCTCATCCTCCTCCTCATCATCCTCATCACCCTGGCCCGCCACTGCAATCACTGGGTCTCCCTCCTCAACCTCCCCGCCCCTCTTCCTCCTGCCGCAGATGTAGTCCCATCGGAAGATTGCTGGTGTCAGCTTCTTGAAGTCATCATCGCTCTCATCATCAGCATCAAAACATCATCATCATCATCATCATCATCATCATCATCATCATCATCATCATCATCATCATCATCATCATCATCATCATCCTCAGCAGCATCATCATACTGAATCGTCGTCGTGATCGCCTCAGCCGTCATCATAATGTTTGTCAACGACAGCAGCACGGTCATCATAATATTCATCATCATCATCATCAGCATGAGCATCGCCATCATTATAAGCGACAGCATCATCATCATCATCATCATCATCATCATCATCATCATCATCATCAGTATCATCATCATCAGCATCATCATCATCCCATCATCATCAGTGGCATCATCGTCAACATCCTCCTCATCATTAGCATCATCATCATCCCCATCGCCAACAGTCATCAGCATCCCCAACATAACTCAAAATTAGCATCATCAGCATGATCAGCATCAACGTCAAAATCAGAATCATCACCACCACCACAACCACCATCAGCATTCACATCAAAAATATCTACATCACAATCACCATGATCATGACTATCGGCCTCCTCGTCGTCGTCCCTCCTCCTACCCTTCTCCCCCTCCTTCTCCTCCTCTTCTTCCTCCTCCTCCACCTCCTCATCCTCCTCCTCCTACCCCCACCCTCGTCATCGTGCTGTCCCTCCTCCACCTCCTTCTCCTCCTCTTCCCTCATTCCCCCTCCTTCTTCCTCCCTCCCTCCCTCCCTCCCTCCCTCCCTCCCTCCTTCCCTCCTCCTCCGTAGCCATTTTGGCTCAAGCGAGCCGCGCGCTTCGGGAGGCCCTCGCCAGCGCGCCTGCTCGGGCGCAGGCGCGCAAGCGGCCATGGAGGACGTCGCCTTCTTCAGCAAGAGTTCCGGACGCCGCTGGGCTGCCGCGAGTGCGAGGACGCTCGCGCGTCGCCGTCGGCGGCACTTTCGTCATGAAATCGGACTTTCGCGTGCTCAGGCGCTGCAGCGGCGCTTGGTCCTGCTCCGCGTTGGACTTTTACCGCCCACTGGGACCTGAGCGACGCCATCGGCGGCCACCACCCCAAGATGGGCGACGCCCTTGCTGCTGCCGATCTTCTTGGGGCTGTGTCGCCCGATCTCATCGCGTCGGCGGCCGCAGCCTGTGCTGACAGCAACTGGGCTCGGCACGCGCCACTACGCGACACGCCTGCCATCCCCAAGATGCCGATCGGCATCAGCTCGGTCACTCTCGAGCTGTTCCGTGCCGCGTTATACCACGGCCAGTACGACTTCGAGCAGAAGACCGTGGACGACCTGCTGGGTGCCCTGCTGTGTGATGGCGATGTTCCTCACCTTGGCGACCCTCATGCTCCTGCAGATGAGCCTTCTGTGCGTGCAGATGTGCCTCATCGTGATGATGAAGAACTTCCTGGTGGTGCTTTTCCTGCTGAAGCGGTTCATGGCGTTTCTCCTGCCGGCCTGCCTGATGAGCTACCTGACGATTCTGGGGCTCATGGGCTACCTGATTTTCCTGGTGGAGCCGCTCTTCCTGAGCTACCTGACGATTATGGTGGAGCCGCGCTTCCTGATGATGCTGATCTTCGTCTTCCTGCTCGTAGGCGTGACCAAGATCGATGCGCTGATCTTCATGGCGTGGGCGGTGCTCGCTGGTGGACTGCCCGCCAGGCCATCGCCGACGCCTGGCTGCTGCGCCCTGCTCGCGATGATCCTGTCCTCCGCGCTGGGCCCGCGACTGAAGTTCAGAAACTTTCTGCTCCTGCCGCTGGTCGCGACAACATCGGGTTCACGTTCGCCACGAACTCGTTCCGACCTGGTTCGTCTGTCTACGACTCGTCTGGCGGAGACTGGTACGACAGCATGCCCAGAGGCTGGAGGCTGACGCCGCACCGCTCCAAGCGGGCTGTATGA